AGTAATACTACTGATCTAATGACTATTTAGCCAAGTGCATGAAAAATGTTATGCTAGTAGCTACGTGTGCATATAAGATGTAGGATCATGAAGGGAAAACAAGGGTCTCATATGTCTGTGAAATATCTATGCTATCTACTTCTATGAATTTTTTTTTTTTTGTTACAACAGCTTGTTCTTAAAGCCCTGGACTAAGACTCAAAAACAGCCCTACCTCTTCAAAAACAAGCACTGATAATATCGCATCCTGGACCACTGTTGTTAGGCTGTTAAAAATACGTCTGCGTGAATTGAATTTCATGTTGTGTAAACTTTGTAGTGCGCAAAAGGTGATACTAAGATGGCTATCATCTTCAAAAAATCGATATTAGGTTAAATCATTTTACATGCATCCCAGTAATCCATGAAAGGCCAAGGCATTCTGATGTTAAATGTGTGCAGTGAAGAGTAACTCAAATCAAATGGGTTCTTTTCATTGTTTTATGCGGGTTGACAATAGATACTGTGCCGTAATCTAATCATACTCAAACGCAAGCCCAGATACTTCGTAATTTTCTCTAAGTAATGCTTGTCGGAATGCCGCAATCTCACTCTGTGGCTCCATGAAAAGGTTCCTCCAGACACCTGGCGGGTAATGAAAGAACCGCAGAAAGAACTCGCTCCCTTTGTGCAGTCACGAATAATCATATTTTCCTACAATCGATGTCAGGTTAAATCATGTGTTCATGCATCCCAGTAATTCCTGCTAAAAGGCATTATTTTGTGACATTTGTGCCTTTATGTAAATCAAATCAAAATGGGTTGAATAGATACTGTTCTGTAACCTAACCATACTCCAATGCTACTCGTAGCCCAGATCCTCCAATTTTTTTTTCAAATCCTTGGAGGGTAATGAAAGTTTGACCATAGGACTGTAAGGTTTTGGACTCCTACTCCTTTCAATACATCTTTAAGTTAGCGGTGTAAGTTTGTTGACGTGTTTCTCAAACACGGGAACTTCCATTTAACATTGCTGGCGAAGCATACAGTTACAGACATATTGCTTAAGAATTATTAGAGTATTGGCATAATAAGTGGGTCTTCACTGTTATCCATAGAAGTAGAATTGTTCGATGGTACCTATAGCATATAGTTCCACTTATGTCCCAGTAACTTTACAGTGTAAAATTGCCGTGTAATATTTGTTTATCAAAATTCACCACACAGACACACACATACTCATATTTACCCGTACCATTCCCCATCTGATAAGGTGTCAGCAAATTCTCCGTCCCAAAACATCGCATTCACAAGGCGTCACAAGTACGCATGCGTTCGGACAAAACAACCAGCATGTGACTAATACTGATCGGTCCTGTTGCTATGCCTAATGGCTAAAAATACCTGGGTGCTATTCAAATTCGGACCATGATATGTGGTCTATGGTGTATCGTGTGGTAAGAACATTTGAACAACGTCAGTAACGGTACCTGATGACTAATTAGCCAAGCGCATGAAAAAAATCATCCTACGTATAGCTACGTGTGTCTATTAGAGGTAGGATCATGCTAGCCTGGTTACCAAACCTATTATAGCTCCCGAGTCCTACATCCTCTCCGCAAATATTTGCGGAGAGGATGTAGGA